ATTTTTTTGTTTGTAATTTTTTTTTGTAGCTTATGCTATGTGAACGGGAGCATGTAACAACTACAAAATAGGTGTTATCCCAATAGGGCTGCAAAGTGGAAATACACTTTAAGCTAACAGGGCAGGGTATGTTTATGATTTTACAGTACCATTATTATTTTTTTAAACTTTCCTTACTTTTTGATAGGGCCTTGTTAGGTTATCTCCTATAAAAAGTGCTGCACCTTGATAATCTTTGATCTCTTCCATGTTGTTCAGGTAGTTCCAGCTCCTCCAGCTCGCCAGGGTTGCCTAGCCCTGCTGTAAGCGAATGGCAGAGAGTTAAGTATACCTAGATAAGAGAGTTGCCTTATATAACCAACTTATTATAAAACTGAAATAACAATATAGTAGACCGGAGCTGTGCTGATCATCACTTGCTAGCTCTTCTCTGCCCTTCATTATCACTAAGTGCTCTCCAGCCATTGTGTCACAGGCATGTATCACTTCATGTTCCCGGAAAGGTTACACTGATTAAAACCGTCTGACTGCCACAGAAATGTTTGTAAAAGTCACTTTCTAGGTTTCTAAGATTTTCTTTCTCTCTGCTGTGATTGTAATATTTCTGCACCGAAAAGTTATTCAAATGAAAAGCAAATGAATCACCTAATGTCAGAGGACTCTAACAGTACTCGAACAGGACTCGATTCTAACAGTTATTTTCGGCTATTCAGTTAGGGTTTAAGCCAAATTTCAGGCAAACAGCAATGACTGCAGGTATGTATTTAATAAAAATAATTACATCACTTTAATTAATCTACTATATATATCTAAATGTAGCTAGTTTTTAGGTTCCTCGAATTCAGTGTAGAGCAGCAGCCAGATTTGGAGAGGTAGGGGCAGTACTTGGGGTCAATCATATGTACTGCATTCATGTGGTGACGGGAAGGATACAGTGATAGGAGTAGTGAGTATAGAAATTACTTCATCGGCCAGTTGCTGCTCCTTCACTGTCCACCTAATTGTAATGCTTTAAGTGACAATCAGGAGTTACATCTTAAAAATACATTCAACTACCTTAACTATTAACATAAATGTTATAATTTAAATATACATTTTATTTTTGTATCACTTGGCTGTAGATCCTCAAATCATCTCTGAATTGGTGCTGACACCAGGTGCTGTCCTTCCTTCTGGAGGGTGGCTACTTTTTGTTCTCCATGGTCTCTGTGTGTGTTGTAAAGTAGCCACCACTTCAAGCTCACTCCGGTCATGGACTACAATCTCAATACAAATTAGTTAACTAAACATGAGATGTAGTCCATCACGGCACGACGATGAGGTTGAAGCAGTGGCTACTTTACAACAAACACAGGCACCACGGGGAACAAAAGTAATTTTCATTCAGAGATGATTTGAGGATCTACAGCCGAGTGATACACAAATAAGATACATTTTTGTTAATAGTTAAGGTACTTGAATGCATTTTTAAGATTTAATTCCTGAGTTTAGTGTCATTTCAGATTTAATTCCTGAGTTTAGTGTCCTTTTAAGGTATATACATATATATATAAGCAACACTTTAATGTACACCTAACCTAAATTAGTGCATAATAGAACATTGTTTCATACTGATCCTATCTATACAGGTCAGATGGATATAGTTGTCTTTTAAGTTTATATTTATTAGGTAGATCTATTTGTTACTTATTATATGAGTCAGAATCAGCTTTCCCACAGGCACAAGCAGTCTAATTATATCTGTTTTATGTGGTTAATACCTAAATATTATCCTTGGAGACCATATCTGTTGGTAAATAGGATGCAACTTGTGTCTTATCACCCGCTGATATAATTATAGCAAGCATTACTCTCTACCCACTTATTTGTCGAACCTACATTTGACTTAGCAACGACTTCTATACAGCAGAGCTCAGAGAGGGGAAGGGAGAAGCAATACAGGGAGCTAATGAGCTGTGTTGCAGTGTAAGGAGAGAACAGAGTGACAGAGAGATGAACTCATTGGTGGGATGTTTCTCTTTTCACTGTCCAGTCACAGGGTGGAAGAAAACTGTAAGTTAAAGGCGAAACGCAGCAGAGAAAAATCAGGTCCTCCCCTGCCAGATAGGGCTGTGCTGTGTGGCAGGGCTGTGTAAATATCAGGACTGGGTAGACAGAAATATAAATCTCTTTGGACAGTAAATCTGCTCCCTTGTATGTATTTTGTTGGTGAATTTAGATGTTCAGTTTTAATAAAATGTCTCTGACTTCCTTACTTTTGAGTCCGGGAGCCAAAATTCCTTATCTTTATATGTGTTCTGGATCAGTAATCAGAAAGCAATGAAATCAAAGCTGCAAAGTTACATATTTAGGTTTCAAATAAGATACATACCCATCAAAGATTATCTGCTGGTGTCATTTTATGCAGGAGTTGGGGTGCGGAAGGGAGGAAGGGAGGAGCAGGACATAGGAGAAACGTCCTAGAACCTTGTTTGTATCTCTTGTGTTTAAGGTCCTTTTAATTTAAAAAAATCATACATCATTAATGACCTTTCTAGATCAATCTCCAACCAGCAATTGTTTTCTAAAAGTAACCTTAAAATCCAATATGGTTTTCATGTATGAAGATGTTCTGGCCACTGCCGGTGAACAGAACTCCTTCAGTGTAGGTGTATTAGAGGGTGGGTGAATAAGATGAACAGAATGATTGATTATAAAGCACAGATTTCAATGTGTTGTATGTATTAGGTGATTTTTTAATATAAAAGAGTGATGATATGAGGCTAAGGTAAAAGAAAGGAAGGGCTTGAGATGTGGAAGGCAATAAAACACATTAGGGGGAATTTATCAAAACTGGAACAGACAGAAACTGGAGCAGCTGCCCATAGCAACCAATCAGTTTCTCTATTTAGTTTGTTCAGTTAAGATTTGAAAATGAAAGAGAGAATCTGATTGGTTGCCATGCACTACTACTCCAGATTTTGTTTGATCCAGTTTTGATAACTCCCCCTCACTGAGCCTTACGAATCAACGTGTTCTTCTTAAGTACCGGAGTTACTCCTTCTGAGCCATAAAAAGGACCTTCCTTGGAAGCTTCATTTCTGACTGTGGGCAAATAAGTTCAGTAAGAACACCCACGGACATGCTGTATAACATCTTAAGGCTTCTACGTTTCAATTTATTATGTAGATATATTAGTCATTGTATGAATCAGAATCGGGTTTCCCAGAAACCCTTCCCAGACAACTCTTTCAGAAACAGTAGAGGAGTAGTAAAAACTATGCCAACTAGAAAGATTATTGTCTAGATCAAGTTTATTTAATGGCTCATTTGGTAACCCAAATCCAGCATGTTTTAAGCTGCCCATACACCTTACGAATATCGGGACAATTTTCGTATGCGATCGCGTTTTCATCCGATATTTGTAAGGTTGTATGGGCACTGTACAACTGCAAATACTGTACAATCGTACGACTTTTGACTAACCAGCAGGTTGGAAAACTTCGGTCGATTGTACGATTTTCACAAGGTTGGTGTTTCCGTACGTCAAAATTTGCACGATTTACACTGCACATGCACAGATGAAAATATGTGCGGTCGATTACTGCAATTCGTCCAGGTGCTTTCTTTTAATTACTGCTGATCTAACCTTGCGATAATCGGGGCAGGATGGGGCCCCCGTACGAAAATCGTACCACGGTTCGATCATCGGACGAAAAGCTTCGTCCGATGATTGCAAGATGAACGGGCAGCTTTAAGGTTTACAACTTCATCAGGGCTATGGTAGATATAAATAGCCCCCCCCCCCTTAGTCCTGGTTAAGGGGGCCCTGTGTACCCAATAGAATGCGTTAGCGTGTTTTATAGAATGCAAAATTATATAAAATGTATTTGGACACAACCCTAGTTGGCACTCACTTTCCTACTATTCTACTGTAATTGCAATTGTGTGTAAAATCTGCACTTTTGGTGTTTCCTTTCAATGTAATGTGTCAGCAGCAGTGAAAACAAGTGAATCCTAAAGTCACTCTCTACAATCTCAAGATTTCTGCTGTAATGCTACAAGAACACAGATGTAATTTCTTTACTCTATAAAACAGCCTTTAAAGGAGAACTATGAGGTGAGTGCTTTTCACTCACCTCATAGTTCTAGCCGACCTGTGACAATGAGACTGTCACAGGTCGGCTCAGTAGATCGGGAGGTGAGCGAATACACATACCGGGTTCGCTCGCCTCTCGATCCTGTCACGGCTCTCTGCTGTGACAGGGGGAGGGGCTGGATTCCCCTCTCCCCGCTCCGATCTGCCAGCGCTGACTGGCGGAACGGACGGGGGAGGGGGCGGTTACAGCTGGCTCTGCCTCTAGATAGGCAGAGCCAGCTGTCACTCACGCAGCTGGGCGGATCCCGTCATCTACGTTGGGATCCGCTCCGGCTGCGGCGTCTCAGTATACCATGAGCTGTAGCTCGCGGTATACTGAGCTTAGGGTGACGGGAGGACGCTAGTTTGTGTCCTCCCGTTACCTTAAGGAGAACTATGGGGAAAAACACAGACCCCATAGTTCTCCTTTAAGTAACCTCAGCTTCCACCACTTCTATTTGGAATTTTATCAAACAAGATACCCCCCACTCCTCAATTTTTTTTCTTCCATTAACATCTTCAAAAATGTCCTATACACGCAACTTACTTTTGGTCCCCGCAGTTATTCTCTTGTGATAACACTATGACAGATCTGGAAGATTACTTAGCACTCATGAAGCAAGATGTAACTACAGAAAGTAGAAAGTAAGAAAAATCCATATGTGTGCTCAAGTACAAATGGCAACGATGGTTGGACTTTGCAATAACGCAAACTAGAATTGCAATATATGTAATTGCCCAGGGGAGGATTGATTTTTTTTTCTCAGCTAAATTAGTGTTGCCCTCTAAGGCGTACTTACCAATTTTAGGTTGTTAAAATTTAAATTTTCACATCATGTATCAAGTAATGGTTTAAATGCATTCTTTTTTTGTTGATTTCCAGCTGTGATTTCAAGAAACCAAGAAGGGCCGGGAGAGTTGGGAAAAGCTGTGCTAATTCCCAAAGATGATCAAGAGAAAATGAAAGAACTGTTCAAAATCAACCAGTTTAACCTCATGGCTAGTGATCTGATCGCATTAAACAGAAGCCTGCCAGATGTGAGATTGGAGGGGTAAGTTCTAAAGCTGCCTGTAACTCCAGTTTGCAGGCCAGTTTACCCTCTGCCTTGTGATGGGGGATTCTGGGACATTTATTGGCTAAAATTGTTTGGCTTTCAACTATGGACAGGTATAGCCACATAATTCAAGGACAGGGCTGCTGGAAGAGCATGTAACATTGGGTGCCCTTATCAATAGCTGTATGACAATCTTTCATCGTGTGTTCATATTTTTGTAACTAAGAGAATTTCCTGAGGGAGCATTCTGGTAATAATTTGTTCAACTGTCAAACTTCTGGCCATTTTTGGCTGCCTACATGCATGATATTTAAACATTAACTTTGGTGGGACTGGGAGCCCTTGGATCCCAAGCTTACACTTTAGATTAGGTCTCAACTTCTGTTGGTGCCTTGCCAGGACTAAGCTGCAACACCATTATTTAGCATACATTGTAGGAGTTTCATTGGTCGGGACATGGTCTCACATCGGACCACTTTAGGCTATGGATGAGACTTTGTTTTGAGCTGCGTGGGGCTTAGTTTCAAATGGGACCAGAAGCCAAGGTATTATATACAGTTTAGTCCCATGATTTAGGGAATCCCCAAGTGCACAACAAACATAATTTAAGCCATCACAAGGTTATTGCATTTTGCCAATTTTTGTAATTCAATCACCGCCTAGGGTTTCTTGACGTGCAAAGATCTTTCAGCCCAAAAGATACAGGAACCCAATAGGTTATTCTGCTTGTCAACATGTACCCAAAAACTGAAAGTCCAACTGCCAAATTTATGATAGAGCAGGGTAAGTTTTGCCTCTGTCAGGAATTTATTGCTGTGTGCAGCCCTAACTGGAAATTGCAGTACAGAAGGTGATGGGACATCTCTCTAATGGGAACATAAACAAAACCCTTTTTTTAGTAGATTGGGGTTGTTCCTGGTTGTGCCTTCCTGTCTTAGTGATGGACACCCCTCTACCCCTCTAGCAAGTGGAACAAAATCTCCCCATATGGGTCACACAAAAAAAGCCTGATACATTTAATTATTCCCACTTTATCCAAGACAAAAAAATGGTTGGAGTTAGGTGTGAAATACAGTAACGGTTTTAGTTAGACTGGTCCTTTAAGAATAGGCTGTTGCCCAAAATTGCCCAGGGCAAATGTTCAGCAAACTTTCAGCTATTCTAGACTGCTGCGTATAGACAAATAGCATGTTACTCATGGCAATCATCCCCTGTGCATTTCATATTTTATGAACTCTGTTTTTTTTATTCTGTATGATGGATGCCTGTATATTGTTACGAAGGGAAGGCAACACACATTAAAAAATAAAGCGTCTACCCATTTCTTAATCCAACGAAAATAACTTCCATATTAATATAACAAGTATGGAGGATAACGTAGCACGAGTTGTTTATTTGGCAGCAGCTGCATGTAGTTCAGATGCTCTCCATGGAAGAGGTTGGTTAACTAATGTAAGTATCCCCTAAAGACAAGATGTTATTTTTATTTTTTTAAATAGACAGCTTGGTCCTGCTGACCATACGCCTGAAGTGAACTGTATACAATAAAAAATAATGAAGTATTTTCAGCAGAATGCCAGTTAGGCTCTATCAAGCAGTGTAAGTGGAATTCATGAAAGCTGGAGAAAAGAAGATGTGTATGTTGCCTAGGGCAACCCGTCTTTTTTTTCTTCTTATTTTCTCTTTAAAGGGAATGACTCCTTCTTGACTCCTTATTTTTTTAGATCTATGCATGAAAGAGATCAACTTGATGTAAATCATTTGATAATAATCATTGTATTTTTATGTTTTCAAACCCTTGTTTGTATGTTTAGTTTGCAATTATATATACATGGGGGAAGCCATATTTTCTTAATGTACACACATGCTCTACTTACAACTCTGCAGTTCCACACAAAGGTTGTTCTTTACTGCTCTTTACTGTTGTTCCTTCTTAACAATGCACTCCAGACTGGATTAACCATTAAGCAAAATGAGCACGTGCTTAGGGCTCTAAGGGAAGGACTTTCCCACTAGCTACCATGCCCTTAAAGATTAAGTGCACTTTAAAACAAAGTGCTCTTATCCTATTTGCCCCCTTTCCCTACACTAACCATTCCCACACTCCTTCTCCACAGATCTATACTTACTAAGATGTAAAACGCAGGCATGTTACATAGACCTTTATGTGGCTCGTCTACCTTGATCTCAAGGTTATTGCATTTAGCTTGAAGGATGACGAGCACTATAGACCCTAATTATTTATTATCATATATCAAAGAAGTGATTTCCCTCGTCATGTGTAACTAAAAATGCCCCAGTCAGTTTAATGATTTTGATCCATGCCCGGGCTAGTACATAGATAATATCAATTTTATAACGTTGAGGGGCCTGGCTTGGAGCTGACCTTGAAGAAAACTGAAGAAGGTTTATAGATTTTCAAACTTTTATTTTACCTTCAGCAGCTATTGAGTATTAATGGCTTGTGAATTAAGCAATGGGGGAGCCAAGTGGGGCATCAGTTGTCCTTAATCCGGCCCTAAACACATACCCTGCCTGGTTGATATCTTTTGTTATGCTTACTGAAAAAATGCTGTCCTCTTATGCAACTTTATTAAAATGAAAAAAGTAGTCACACTGCAGGTAGGTAACATAATATAAGGTGCCTGCTCCAACCTTCTCTGTGTTTCCTTACCCCACCTCAGTAATCCAAATAAAAGGATTTATTCCAATATTTGGGGGGTCCCTACCCTTCAGTGTTAAGGACAAACTATTTTATGTATAGGGGTTCCCCACCTGGGGATGCAAAGGTGACATTCAGCTCAACATCTTACACTTCTACTTTAAAGGGAAATCTCTGCTAAAAAGTTGTAGGGTGCCATTGCTGGCTTTTCTTTTGAAAATTCTAATTGCCTGCCAGTCAATATTCTGCTACAGCTTAATGTGAACCTGTGGCCGGGCTTTACATAATCTTAAACTCTGTTAAGTCTTAGTAAAACAGTGAATGGTGAAGGTGCCAAGTCAAGTAGTAAGGCCTCATAGTCTAGGACTCTACACAGTTTAGTTGATAACGTGTTCTGTGGTTAACCTCTATCCAAAATGGCTAACTTTCATGTTTTCTATGGAAAATACCCTGTGAAACTTTCTTGGAAAGGCCTTGGACGCCCTTTTTATAAATGGGATGTCTTACATCATCTTGGTAGTTATATAATGCCAACTACACACTGCTTGATACACAACTTTCATTAAATTGAACTCAGCGGCTGCAAAGATGGCTTATGGATTTCCAAAGCTGGGAGCTCCAGCGTTAGACATCCTCTTTCATAAAAACAGAATTGAGGCAGAATATGGAGGAACATGGAAGAGCTCGCTCTAGCAAAGACTTAAAGGCATATTTCATTTTTAGTTTCCACTTCTTAATTTATTAGCTGCAATCCAGTCTGCGTGGAAAGCGTCTGGCTGGCTGTAAATATTTATAATTAGGATATACTAATGGATTTCCTAGATTAGTAGGAATTATCCATAAGAAATCATTTATAAAGCATTTTAGCAGACATAAGAAATGAAAACCATCTCAGTATAAAAACATTTCTCTGCATTCTGCTCGTGCATTGCATAAATTATGAAATTGAGCAAAATTGGCCTACATGGTATACTTTATGACTTGTTTAAAAAGAAGATCTCTGGCAAATGTAACATAAAATGTAATTTGTTCCATATATAATTTGTTCCATATATTTATATATAACGAGGATTTAGAAAATTTAAAAGAATGCTACAGTCCAATTTAGTTTAACATCTTTAGGAGTTGCTTGCTTTTCTACGTTTTGATTATTGTTGATTGATATGCAAATGCCAGCTCTTGTGGTCATCCATAGAGCAAGGAATGCAACTAGCATTCCTTGCTTTATAGAGAGTCTCTTGTCTCCATCACGCCAGGCCAATGAATCGATTTACTAAAGAATGAGAGTTATGTTCATTTAGAAAATGAAATGGTGACTTAAACTGTATGTGTGGGCAAAATAAAAATGCATATTTTCACATTTTGTATCTCTTAAATAATGCTGTGTGTAATGAAAAATATTGATGATCCTGCCAGAAATCAAATGAGCTAACGACACTGCCTCTCTTCAGTGGCATAACAATAGCCATAGCAGCCCATGCAGCTGCTATGGGGCCTGGGGTAGAAGGGGGCCCCATAAAGGATTTCAAAAGATGCTCTTGAGCTTGTACTACATATGACATTTCCAATCAAAAAGAGCTGACATCAGATGCATAGGAGGAGAGTATGCAGACAGCTCTCCGGCTACCTGTCCTGGATTTCAATTTTAGGGGTCGCCGAGGGGGCCCCATCAACACTTTGCTATGGGGCCCAAAGATCTGTATTTACGCCCCTGCCTCCGTTGCACATAAATTCCAACCAGCCCACCCTGAGCTCCCTCTTGCTTTACTACAAAACTTTGCATATCCCCATCTCAGTTTGTCCCACTCCACAAGGATACCCACTCCACATTGTGAGAAATAGCAGTACGTATGCCCAAATGTCGTCATTAATGTGCACCTGTGCCCAGACTCTGGATATTAAGGTCCATTGAATAAAAAGGCGTTTTATGTTGTATGTTATTTGTGCACCTGTTTATCAAATCTATATTTTGTAACACAAATACACTAAAATGAATTTAGAGCACACAAACACAATATAACCCCCAACAGTCTGTACAAAATAAATGAGGTTGTGTAGAGTAAATACATATCAAATATTTCAAGCTATAAAACAGTGTGTACCCTCTAAAAGGTGAAACATTCGAGCAGTGTATGGCCAGCTTAAGCCTGCAGTAGCTTTATGTTGGGCACACACCTTACAACCATCGCAAGACTTTTGTCTTGTGATGGTTGTAAGGTACTTAAAAAAACGTACGATCTGCCTATCTTGGACAGGCAGATCGTAATGGCGATGATCGCATGCCCGCCCGATGACCGCAATGCTGAACAGGCAGTGTGCGCTTCCGCACACCGGC